GCGAGACGCCCCCTGTCCGCTCCGGGGAGAGCCCTGGCTGTCCCGTGCGACACCGTCTGCGCCCTGGGCAGCCATGGCCGAAGGCGAAAGACCCTGTTAAGGTGCGTGAGGCATTGGAGAGAGAAGAATGGGGACAATCGCTCTGCCACGCAAAGGGCCCTGGGCTGGGACTCCAGAGAGCTGGGCGCTAGTCCCTTCCTAGCCCTGCCACTGGCCCATTGCCTGGCCACGGACGCGTCACTCGGCTCTGGGATCGCGGGGTTGTGGCTAGTCCCTTCCTCACCCTGCCACTGACCCATTGCCTGGCTACGGACACGTCACTCAGCTCTGGGATCGCGGGGATGTGGCTAGGAGCTGTGGGATGCAGGGAAGGAAGATGTAGTGACTGTGAGGGAAGGCTTCCTAGCGGTCAGGCACTCCCGTGAATGAAGTCCCAATGGAAGAGGAAACACTCCTGCTTGGAGTAAGGATAGGGTGACCAGATGTCCCTATTTTATAGGGACAGTCCTAATATTTGGGGCTTTTTCTTCTATAGGCACCTATTACCCCCACCCCTGTCCTGATTTTTCACACTTGCTGTCTGGTCACCCTATGCAGGGGGCACTTGGCCAGTGCTGTGCTAGGATGGCAAAGAGGGTCTGGCAAAGGCATGAAAGTAACCAGGCCCTTCACCTGTCCTGCCTTGTGTGCGCCTTAGCAAGGGCCTTAATTATCAGTGAAGGCAGAGCTGGGTATGAAACCCATGATGAGCGTCCAGGCCTGTGTAGGAGGCAAAGTCCTCAATTCAAGCTGGGGCAGAGTTGAAGTGTGGTGATTCACACGCTGTCTCTACTTGTCTAAACTAATAATTAGTAGAAAATTTACACCAATTGGACCTCCTGATTGAAGAGCACTTTGAGGCTCTGTTGATTGTCAGGAAGGCAACAATCCGTGTTACCTTACCCCCGGTGTTTACAAGGGAAAGAATCCGGGTCAACTGAATCAGAGCAGACTTGGTTGATTGGGAGGCGGGGTGGACACAACATAATGGAACAATCAACATACTCCACTCTGACAGCAGTCAGTCAAATCTCTTATTTGCTGTCCGAGAGTCCCTGAAATCAACCCCACCCCCAGGCTTCTGCATGGCAATGCCTTAGCTGGAAGCCAGCTTTGGGTAGCTTTCAGGGACTGCAATTTTTGCCTCCTTGATATTTCCCAGCCATGTTCCCCCACTTAAGCTACTGCTCCCCTTTAGTAAAACCCCTGCTCTGCCCTTCCAGAGGTGCATGTCTACTGGCTGTGCTCCTTCTGCACAGCAGAGTGATGGGGGAACATGGCCAGCGCTGAAGAAACTAGAGGCTGCAGTCTGTGGATGGCCTGATGAGGAGCTGCCCAGAAGAAGGCAGGGCTATTCTGGAATGGGTCCATAGTTGAGGAAGCATTTCTGAGATGGGGGGGGGGAATACTTTCCAGAGGGGAGATTGGGGAGGGAACAGCAGAGATGGAACTTAGCTGTCAGAGTAAGAAGTTTTGCTGACTGAGAGAGCTGCCTTCTTTGGGTTTGTCTGCATTGTAATTTAAGTTAATTGAGTGCCAGTTAACTGTTGTTAGCTAATACCTCTGTACATGCTGATCCTGGACACTACGAAGTCTGCAGGAGTGTGGCATGGTGCAGCACTTGGCCTTGTGTGCCTGTTTGTGTTTGAAGAATTAATCCTATGCATTACGTACTGAGGTGGTGTTTCATTTTGTGAAACCTCTATGGAGTCCCCTTTTTTCCATGAAGGGATGGGATGAGGGGGTGACAATCTCCACAAATCTATGTAAGATCATACTGCAGACTTTAAAAATTCCCAGCCCTTGGCTCTGGTGCCATGTAGCCATCCATCTAACAGGGATGCTCCATCTCTGTCTAGGTCCCAATGCCCCCCTCTGTGTCTTCTGATAATGTTAACCCTGGTCATAAACACAACCTCAGAAGTTCTCTCAAAATAACTGACTGCAAATTAAAATACCCACTTGATGACCACACTGACTCCCTTCTCTCCCCTGTGCCAAGGTACCTGCCTGCTTTGATGAGCAGGGTATTCAGATCTGCATGCTATGCATAGAGAGAGGTTTGGTGGAAGGTGGCCTCCCTCTGGAAGGTAAGAACTTCCACTTGAATGAGAGGGTGCATAGGAAAGGTGTAGTGGGACTGGGTAGATGTTGTTTCTGGGTAATGTCTGGAGAATGGGTTGTGAAATTATGGTCTTTTGGATGTAGTGGGTAGTTGAGAAGGGCATGATGGAGGCATTTGCTCTGCATATGGAGGCAGGGTGTTGACATCTGGCTAGTAATGTGCAGGTGAACTGGAGGATGCTCTGTGGCCATGCAAAGCTGGAGTGGGGTGATGGCTTGCAGTCCATGCTGGAATAGAGGCAGGTGTCAGAGTTCCTGGTCTGAAGGTTGAAGAGGGGCAGGCATGTGGTATTAAGTTGCACTATTTCCCAAACAAGCTTAACATATAAACCTCTATTTCAGAGATTGTATGAACTGGTGAGAATCATCTTCCCTGTTAACATCTGTATTAACAAAGGCCTAGGTTTTAACAGTAATGCTGCTTGCTGTCCACACAGTGAAACAGCCTTAATTCTAAGCAACGGGTGTGTTTGTTCACAGGGACTCTGGACTCTTGTTAACTGCTGGAGCAGCTGCAACTCTCTGGGTAAGGTACAGGTGGGGCTGGACTTGAGCTTCCTTAGAAGCGCAGGGCAGAGTTAATATTTACTCCTAATCAAGAAAAGGTTCCTTTGGCTTGGCAGAGGCACAGTAACAAGACTTGCCTTGTACTTTAGAATTTACTAGGTGTTTCTTCTCCAGACTGAGTGGAAACCAGCCCCATCTGATGCATGAGTAAAGCTCCTAGCCCCAGAGAGCCAGGCGGATTCCTTACTCTCTGTGTGCATTTTCCCTTTACAAAAGGTAAAGTGCCAGGGGGCTGGGGAGCCTGTCCTGAGAGGAAGTGTTTTTTGGGGGTAGAAGCAGTTGTTGTTGTGCAGAGCGCTCTACACAGTCAATCCCTGGCCGGAGGATCTGACAGTCTAGCTAGGCCATGTCTTCACTGCCAGAAAAGGTGGGTTTTACAGTGAGATCACTAGCGAACATTTGCTGTGTTTCTGTGGAGCCCTAGCGGAGCTGAGATGCTGGAGTGTTTACTGTGATGTAGCAAGGTAAGGTCAGCACTGCACCTCTGCCCTGGTTTGCCCTCACTGCGCTACATCGCGGTAAAACTATAGTGGCTTGTCTTTACTAGGATTCTGCAGTGAGATGGCAAATGCACGTTAGTTATATCCTGGTGAAAACGTAACTTTGAGACAAGGCACAACAAGTGGGTATAACAAACATTCAGCAGGAGAGGGTGAATAATATTCCTTATTGATGCCCTGCAGAATCGGGGTGAAGAGAGCATTGGGCTAGGCTCCTTCCCTTTTCCCTAGGGACTACCTAGGACAGGGCCAGAACCCTGAGGCTGCAGGCCACGTAGCTGGGGGAGAGAGCACAGACTAGGGAGCCATTTTAGGGAGTGTTCCAATGGCAGCATGACCCTGCTCATTTTGCCCCATGATTGGGGTTGTTTTTGTGCAGGTGGACCAGGCTGAAGGGTGGGCACCTTTGAGCAGGACGGCTGGGAATAAAAACTAACTGCCAAGCTGTGCTTCCTGGCAGTCTGGTGGATGTCAGCCTGTCAGTGATTGTGTGGCCACCTTGTCTAGTCAGATTGTGGCCACCTTGTCTAGTCAGATTGTGAACTCTGGGCAGGGTCTGTCTCTCTTGTTCTGTGCGTATACAGTGCCTAGCACTGCAGGGCCCTACGTGCTACTGTTCTACAAATAGCTAATAACCTGGCAGTGCCAGAGGGAGCTATTGCTAATTTGAGGGTTCCTTAAGCTCCACA